ATATATATATATATATATATATACACAGTATATATATAGTAGAAAAATAACTCTTTCAACATTAAATACAATAAAAATAAAAATTTGGTCATCATTTACTCATCCTCAAGTTGCTTCAAACCTGTAGGAGTTTCCGTTGAACACAAAAGAAGATATTTTGAAGAATGCTGGTAACCAAACAGTTGATGGACCCCACTGACTTCCATGGGATGGCAAAAAACACTATGGAAGTCAATGGCTACCAGCAATTGTTTGCTTACCAGCTTTCTTCAAAATATCTTCTTTTGTGTTCAACAGAAGAAAGAAACTCATACAGGTTTGGAACAACATGAGGAGAAGTAAATGACAAAATGTTAATTTTGGGGTGAACTATCCCTTTAAAACCTCCAGCACACTTGCCTCATAAGATTCCATTGTAAGTGCATTACTGGACACATGCTAGTTCTTTGTTTTTTATAAACCGAGGAACGGGCTAATATTATTTACTATAGTAATATAGCTTAAATTCAATTAAACTCATTCAAATCTGGACAGTGGCCTTCAAAGCCCCCTAAAAGTCATTCTTTCATCTGATGACGCGACATAAACAGGTTCCACCAAGGAACATAGCCATGTGGTTTCAGTGTATTTATGGCTGCAGCAGCAGTTTCGCAAACCCTGCAATTTGCATATATTGAGTAACTTGCTTTAAAAAGCACCAGTTTTGCACTTACATTCTGACGTTGTTGTCAAAAAAGCAGCGGTTGCGCAGAAGCCCTGCCCACAGCTGCACGCCAACAATCCCAAAGATGAAAAACACGAAGAAACAAAGCAGCAAGACGTTTCCTAGCATCGGTAAAGTATCCAACAGCAACGTCACCAGGATTCGCATACCTACGAGACACAGATACATGATGTCACAAACACGCATTTAATAACACATGCAATGAAGCATCAAAGCCATTGGGGTTCACTAGACACATTTACAGATGAGACCGTAGTGTTACATTTAACTTTGATAACTGTGATCTGACATTCACACACTTCATGAACACATTTTCTCAGTGTCTGATGTGTATTCAGTAATTGAGCCAAGAAGTGAACACAGGCGCGCACACACACACACACACACACACACACACACACACACACGCAGGGCTTTGGCTAATGCTCGGTGTTTTGAGAATAATGGAATTGGAAACTTAACAGCCACGGGCTCTCACTCCTCACTGAGTCCAAAATCTATTACTGCTTTGCTAAACACACACACACACACACAAACTTATTTGGTATGTGTTGACAAAAAGAGTGAGCTATAAATGGTAAGAGTATCCGTGCATGTCAAGAATTTACTGTCTCGCCGTACATTAAACAAAACAGACACTTGCACTGCTGGACTCCATCCATGACTGTAACATACACCAGCACCTCTCTGAAGACTAACAGCGTGTGTATGAGTGTTTGTGTATTTTTTGTGGTCCATCAACTATGAGATTTTGGACTGTGGGCACTTAGCCGCAACAATCAGCGTCAGTGACCAAGTTAATACATCATGGGAGTCTTGTCTATTCTGTGCATGTGTGAATCTATAAATACAGCAGGCACATCTTTTTTCAGGCCGAGTCCAAATCATTTGCTTCAAACCAATAGCTGGGTTTTAAAACAGTGACACTAGAACATTAAAAATACACAGATGCAAACAAATAGAGGGAAAACGGTACTCACTGGGAACTCTGTTGATGGCTCGTAATGGTCTGAGAACCCGCACGGTTCTGATGGCTGAGAAACTAACGTTATGACCATCTAAAGAATACTCCAGCATCCTAAAACATAAGCAACACAAATTCACTTCAATTGAACTTGTAATGCAACACAATAGAACAATACATATAATAAAGAATAATAAAGTAATATATATTTTTCAACCATTTGATGATGACATTCAGCATAATATAATATAATAATTATATTAATATATAATAATTATAATATATAATATAAATCATACTCATATTATATAGTAATATATATATATTTTTCAACCATTCAATGACATTCCATATATTCATTTAAAAAAATCATATTTATAAACAGGAAGATAATTAATATTATGATATTTGAATTAAGATTATAATATCAGTTTTATTTGTATGTAATAATAATAATAATAATAATAAGCATTTCTTCTTATTATCCTTTTTTTGTGGAAACTGTGATACTTTTTTCAGGATTCTTTGATGAACAGAACGTTTGAAAGCATATAACAAAACATTGGACAGTTTAAAATGTTTCACAAATGAATCACAAAATTCAAACGTCATGTTTCTACACAAAGACTGAGTTAAAATTAGTGCTGTCAATCGATTAAAAAAATTATCTAATTAATCACACATTTTTTTCTGAAATGAATTGCGATTAAACATTAATTTTTAAATATACTTTTATATTGCATTAATTTCACATTCCATCTTCAAATTAATGTAGAAACAGCATAAAGACAGTATATTTTTAATATTTGTTTAGTGGCATCTTTTTTATGTCTGAAGGCGACTATCACTGATACCAATATTACTGATGTCTCTATGAAAATTGTTTTTCCCCCCTAATATTTAACAATTGACTATAGCCATTCAACATTACAGTAGCTATATTTGAGAGCTATCAATTTTAACATTTATTAGACTT